GGAATCCTCTGGTCCTTGACATGATCTGTAGAAGAGTGAGTCAGTTTTTGACATCACCTGGGTGCAACATTTGACCTCTGGTTAATCCCCATGCTGTAGGTTGAGCACATGTTTTCAGAGTTTTACAAGAAAGGAGGACTTGAGGGCCAAGCTTCCAATTACCGTAGACTCACCTCACACATCTGAATACCCAGAGACATCGGAGCCTGAGAACCTGCCTCTCAGTCATCCATCTATCTGTCGATCCATTTGTCTATCAACCTCACATCTAGGTCTCTTTATATCTCTTACTTGCCTCCACATTTATTTATATCCCTTCTCTCCCTCCTTATCTCGGTCTCTCTTTATAGAGCAATACCAAACCCAGGTTGTTCTAAATACTCTCCTTTAATCACTCAGGGATAGGACAAGGCTCTCAGTACTGTGTAAAAGGTCCATAAATGACACTGTTGCTGTTGTCATTGTTAGTTACCATTGAGTCAACTCTGGCTCACAGGGACCCTCTGCAGAGCAGAACAAACACAGCCTGGTCCTGCGCCAGCTCCACAATCCTTGCTATACCTGATCCATCGCCGCAGCCACTGTGTCTATCCACCTCGTTGAGTGTCTTCCCCTCTTTCATCGACCAGCACCTTACCAAGCATGACATCCTTCTCCAGGGAATGGTCCCTTCTGACAACATGACCAACGTAGATGAGACCAAGTCTGGCCATTATCCTTTCCAAGGAGCATTCCAGATGCACTTCTTCCAGCACAGATTTGTTTGTTCTTCTGGAAATCCATGGCACTTTCAGTATTCTTCATAATTACCTCAAATCAGAAACGGCAACCCTTCTTCCATCTGCCTTGTTCATTGTCAGGTTTTCACATGCATGCGAGGTGATTGAAAACAATGAATAAGGAAAACTGAAGAGGAGCTGATGCCTTTGAATTGTGGTGCTGTTGAAGATTTCTGAAAGTAGTATGGATTTCCAGAAGAACAAACAAATCTGTCCTGAATTGTTGATGGAATGCTCCTTAAAAGAGATAATGGCAAGACTTCGTCTCACCTACTTCGGTCATGTTGTCAGAAGGGAGCAGAGTCTGGAGAAGGATGCCATGCAGGTAAATTAGAAAGGTCAGGTAAAAGTGGAAGAGCCTTAATGACATGGATTGGCCCAGGGGCTGCCACGGTGAACTCAGGCAGAGCAGAGATTGGGCGGATGGCGCAGGATCGGGCAATGTTCATTGCACAGGGTCACTGTGAGTCACAGCCCACTCGGAAGCACCCAACAGCACAGTGACCACAGACTGAGTGGAAGTTCATTGCCAAGCTTCTCCTGCAGGGGGCTGTTAGCGGGGTTCAAACCACCAACCTATTGGTTCACTGCCAACTGCAAACCATTTCTGCTGCTC